AGGTAATGTCCATGGAAGGTTTTGCCCTACGTACCGGATCTGTACACCATTTTTCATGATACTCAATAAGCCTTTTACACACATGTTCATATCATTAGTCAGCCACTAATTGTAATACCCTTAATTAATTTTAATGTAATTAAAATTAATGTATAAATATAATTTTTTAGTTTTTAAATTTTTATTTAATGTAAAAATGAAGAAAATTAATTGGAGGATGAAATTGAAAATAAATTTGGGAAAAAGTGGTGAAATTTTGGATTTTGAAGTGTTTTTGAAAGAAAAATAAAAACTGGGGGTTAAAACGTAATTTAAACAAACTATGCCACATAGGACGCCTAGTCAGCAGCCCCAATGAATCGGAGCGCGCCGCGTGATAAGGCACGTTGACGTGGTGCCACGCAGGAGGCCACGTTGGGGATCGCATGCCCACCATTGGACGATCCAGATTTGTTCTCGCGCGCACAAACAGTCCGGATTTATTTTCTCATCAGACCCGATCGTTCTGGTCACGATTAAATATGATAAATAGTTCAGATCTATTTCGTATTTAAGCACGATCGAACGATCTGGATCAAATCGCGATGAACGGTCCAGATTCACTTCTTATTTAAACGCGATCGGACAGTTCAGATCAAACGCGATGGACGGTCCAGATTAAAAAAAGACGAATATAAATAACTCTCTTCACACTAAACCATAACCCTAGCCACCAAACCCCCCGCCAGAGAAGAAAGTCAGTCGTTGGGAATGGAGTCGACCGCCGCTTGCCGCCGTGCCGGAGCCACCTTTGACCACCAAAAGAGGTAAAATTTTCTCCATTCGCTCGAAATTCAATTTTGAACACCCTCATTGCCAAATCGGAGCAAAAGGATCAACATATAAGCTAAAAACTACAGGTAAAGCCTAGCGCTGCTGCCGTAGGAAAAAGCAAAAACTGCCTCCGATGAAGCCCTTCCTAATTTCCGTTTCATATAATTTTTCTACTATTGTAATCTCCATCCCTTTTTCTACAGGTTGACTGAAGCAAAACACTAAATCGCGAAGGTGAGCCAGTGGAGCTATCGCACCGAAAAACTCCACCGCCGGTAAGCTTTGATTTTTAGATTTTTTTGGGCCAACCAATGCCCCTTAACGTATTTTCTCACAGAAATTGGTACAAAATCGGTCAAAAATAGCTAACCTAAGGCAAACCGCTGCTGCGGGCGGCGGTACCATCGTCGAAGCAGGGCGTAGCCGCCGTGCCAGAATTTTAGAATTAGCCAAAAAGTGTTTCTAACACTGATTTTGGGTTTTTTGGGGTATTTCTAAGTACTTGAAACACATTTTAATCTCCGAAAAAAAATTTAGAGAACCTGATGACCACTAGTATGCGCAGTCAAAAACTTAGTGTGCGGACACCAATTCGAGTAAGAATCTTTCACTTTATTTTCTGTTATGAAATTGATGTTTAATTAATAATAATACGGTATTTTGTGTAATTTAAAAAATATCCATAATTAATTATAGGTCACCAATGGAGGCAGAATCTGTTATTTATTACTGTTTGCCATGTTTACCTGATTGATTGATATTGGTATGATAATTTGATTGTGTTTCCTTGATGCATATATTACTTGTTTTATGTGATTATAGTTAAATTGAAAAACTATAAATTAAAGGCAAACGAAAAATTGTTTAATTTAGTGAATGGATGAACGGGAGCCTTACTAGATATTCTGGGAGATGGTGGACGGACCGGGTATATAGGAAACCCTACTGTAAACGTTGTCTCATATCGGATGGAGTATCGAGTATTGGTAATTTGACGCTCATATCGGACAGGGTATGGGGACAACCTATTTCACCTTCATACAAGGTGAGATATTGAGGATGATATCTTTTGGCACCCATACCAGACGGGGTATGGGGACAGTCCGTTATTTGAAAATGTTGAATAGGTTCACGTGTAGTAGGAACATCCCTATGGACCATCATGGATACCAGTAGACTAATAAAAGAGAAAGTCGTTATTCTGACTGATTGAATATAAGATTTTGATATTATTTTTATTTTTGACTTCATAAGTTGGTTTTTTTGAAAATCTCGCTACAGTAAGTATGCAGTAAATGATTTTATTCATAATGAACGAATTTACTTAAATTAAAAGCTCCATTAGTTGTTCTTTATGATTTCTACCAACCTTCATTTCTGTATCGATTAGTAGCATGATATTCTTATTGGGCTAGTGTATCTCATTCTTTCACTAACCATTTCTTATTTTCTATTTATTTTTTTTATTTTTCGTTATTTCTTTTAAAAAGATCATTCTCGTAGCCCTATTATGTAATCTGAATTATTGTGTAAGGAATGTAAATCTTAACTATTTATTTTGCTTCTACATTCAATTCATAAT